ATAATACTTTTAGATTTATTATTATGAATTTGGTGCTGGCCATGCAACCTGCAAAAATAAAATACTTTTGGTAGCATTTATTAGAAATGCCTACTGTAAAAATGATTTATTTATTCATTATGGATTCAATTTAGAAATTGTTATATTATTTTACACAATATACCAATCAAAGGTGGACAGGTAACCTTACAGGTCAACAAACCAATAATATGACAAGGCAACCAAAAGATCTTTCAGAACATAGATTCCTCAAATCATATTTACTCAAATTTATATTGTATAATTTTGTTACTTTACATTGAAATTTAGGTGGAAAGAATGTGAAGAAAATGATGAAGAAAATAACAARTGGTACAAAGAAGGAAGAGGGGAGCACCTGGTTTTCTGAACTGACAGATAAGGGTAAATCATATTAGTTGTATCAAAGAGAATACTTGATTATCTGGTCATTACAGATTGATTTGCCTGATATTGGTTTTCAGCCAAAGCAACAAAAACCCATTGCTACTTCACTATGAAGGCATTTTCCACGCAAAACAAGACTACTGCAGARTTTYAATCAGCCCTATTAAATGTTGTTGATCACTATCAGGTGTGTTAAACTAAACAATATTCATATAATCTTAATATATTACAGCAACATTGCAGCAATTCAGGGTTCTCATTTAGCCTAGATGATTAAATTCCCCGACTGTATTTTCCCTAACATTTCCCTAACTCATAGGAACCATGGGCATACATTACAATATAAAAGTACAATTCACTAGCCCTTCTCCTTTACAAGCAGTCATTTTCTTGATATTCATTGAGTYTACTTGTTAGCTGCTAAATTTGCTATCAACAAATATTTATTACTATATATAACAACAATAAGAGTTACTCAGACTATTGATATTATTGTTTACAGGGRAAACACTCAAAATGCCCAACTGAGAGTAGATGTCAGATGGCTGATTATGTATGCAGCAAAAAGCCTTTGAAAAACCCAAAGGCAATTGAGGCATACARAAAGGYCCTGACAAAAACTCTTATTTACAGAAATCCAGAAGCCTATATGAGAGTAAGTAAAAATATATATTGATATTTTGAAAGTAAAAGAAAAGAAAATATACATAGACTGAAATATTTAGTGATGATTATTRTTCACTTTCTGTAGTAATCAACACATGTACTTGGATATTGGAGACTTGTCTCTCAAAACATTTACAATTCAGACCCTCATAAATGCATTTCTGGCATTTTGAGAGGCATTTCTAGGAAAGAATAGATAAACAGTGTTTATCAATATCATCGAGTGAAATGTATATTAAAAAAYTAAAACCCTCAAAATGCACAAGTCTCCTTCTTTCAAACAGTAATTTTCCAATCAATAAATAAAAAWTTTTGTGARCCCTAAAAAATGACTGCTCAATGAAGATATATTGTAGCCTGATTTCACTGAAAATTGTTTTTATATTTTGCAGTGTCGTGACACATATTGGATAGAATCATTCCATTCTATCCTATTAATATATGCCCCCAAACGGATTAATTTTGGTGATAACACCTACACAACAAGAATACAACTTGCAGTTCTTGACTGGGTACTTTGTCTTTTCTTGAAGCTTTTTTTTATATAAAGCACATATAAACACTGATACCATAATTATTGCCCATAACTTTATCCTCAGAATGAAAATGTCAACAGGGAAGTATCCTCAGTAATAAACTACCAGTACGCAAGAAACCCAGACAGGAAAGCCCCAACAAGAGTACGACGCCCCAAAACGTTTTGTTTCAGGGATGCTATTTGGCATGTGTTTTTTTCTGCGTGTCTGTAGTTTGCTTGTTTAAATGTTTGTTTTGTGTATGTTTGATTGTTTTTGGTTGTGSTTGTTTAATGGCTTGGTTGGTTTGAGGAAATTGCATACAAACGGCTCCTTTAGGAGCCAACCAATTTTAAAAAGTGAATGATACAATGCACTAAAAAGACATTCAAACAGTATATTAATATAATTATACAAAAATATGGGTGTGGTTCTGGTACAATCTGTAGGTAATAAGTCCTATAAAGCATTGCTAAGGTAAGTATTCTATAAAAGTGTATAATCTTCTTACATTGAATCTAACTGTTCATTTTCTATTTTCTATTTTTTTTAGGTTTGTATATTGTAACAGATAGAATCATGTGTATCATTTTCTTAATCCACAGTCAATAGACCATTAAAACTATATCAATTTTATTGGTGTTCAATAGTTGTCTTATGTTTTGTATTTCATACATTCATGAAAACTTCTGGTATTATTTACATTAGTTGGTTTTCATAATGGTATTGCCATTTTTCAAAATAAATCTCAAATGACATCAATATTTACATAAAAACTACCAGTTAAACAGTAGTTACAGTGTCACTCATCAACAATGATGTAAAAGAAGTTATGCCCAATAATTTGAATTTTTTTAGCTTCCTTCATAAATACTTCCTTCATAAATAGAAAAATAAAAGCTTCATGGTGTGAAAGATATGAGGGCAGGATAAYCTTCTCTTTATGTATCACATACAAGTTTTTTCGTCAGAATTTCACATGTAAAAATTTATTGGGGTCTGATCTATATTTGCCAGGAAGGTTGATTTTGTTTGTTTGTTTGGGGGGGGGGTCATTTTTAGTCTCCTACTTGCAGTTGTTTTCTCTTCTGATGTAATACTGAGATATACTGAGATCATGATGTATTATGAAATAATCATGCACGCTTGTGACCCATATATGGAATGTGAGGAGGATTTGGCCATCGTTTCCTCACATCCTCAACAACACACCAGGGCATCCCTTCCCTTACATCATGAATGTGACACCCTAACTCCTGTTTTCTTTGCAAATATTCTTCTCTTATCCACAGGCCTGCCTTTTTAAGTTTTTGGTAGAAAAATCTATATTCCTTCAGACGCTTTGTGTGATTTGTTGGCAATGGATGTCCCCTGGGCCTGATGGGTCCCAAAACCACACAAGGAGTCTGAAGGCACCAACAGCATCTTGCACTTTTTTCACTATAGATAAAAAAAAAAGAAATAGAAAGTGTGTTACAAAACATTTATTGAAAGTAGATGATTATAATTGTTACTATGATGGCTGAATAAAATTCAGAGATGAATTTTAGGTGGTAAAGGAATGAAGACAATAATTGGCTTGGGTCTATAACTCTCCATTTTTTCCCAAACAAATCTCTTATTTTCTAATCATAAAAAATTCTAATTCTAACTGATTTCAGTTTGTCATTTTCAGCATTTATAATGAAACTTAATTCTAATTGTACCTTGTGAAATGTGCAAGTTTTTTGTCACCTGA